TGCTGTGTTTTTCTTATCTGCCATTCAGTGTGTGCAGCAGGGATGATAGTGAAAAATAGCCTTAAAGATAAGCAATAGGTTAAATACATACCATATAGAGCATATTGAAGCATTGTACAATGTCTTTAGGGTTTAATTCAAATCCAGTGAAAAGACATTGGAAGGTTTCAGCAGAACAAGAAGTGGGTATCAGCTTGTAACACAGATGTCACCAATTTCAGCCTGGGCAATTTGCTTGGAACCTACAGTAATGGCATTTGGAGGAAGAACAAAGGAGTTAGAAAGAGGGTAAATATCACAGATTAGCTTGTGGGGTGTGTGTTTTTGTTCTGAGACCGAGTCTGTCTTAACACATTGTTTATCTCTGAACCCCCTATAGTCTAGAGTAGCCCTTGAACTTGGAGCAGTCCTGGTATGCCTTCTGAGTGTGGGGATTTACAAGTATGTGCCATCTTGATAGTTTTGGAGATGTTACATTTAGGCTTGTGTAAATGGTAATTTTATATCTCTGGGTTAAGTAGGCAGTTGATTCTATGCTTCTAGGAGTGTTAATTTGCTAATAGATTATGAGGCCATGATACTGTTATGAGTTGAGATGGTAAAGAACTCAGGGACTTTAAAGGCTGGAGAGATTCAAAATGTTAGAGAAAGGGGTAAAAATGAAATAGAAAAAGTGTCCTGGGAAAAGTAACTATATGTTTACAAGTAGGAGTACGAACTATATGGAATTCTTTTGGTCTTTTAGTATTCAATTTAGTGGAAGGAGACAACACAGATAACATTATACTGTGAAATCAGTTTTGGTGTACAGGTTGACTCTACTTTGGTATTCAGAATATATAGTCATGTAATCATCACTGTAGTAAAATCTTTCTAAACCTCATAAATCCAGTACTGATGCCCTTCTGTAGTCACCTCTACCTGTCTTCTAGCAGAGATTTTATTGTAAATGAAGTGTACACTGTATTAAGCTTTTTAAAAAATTGAGCTGCATTGGGTTAAAGTTATTTTGGGGAAAGATTCAAAATAACACATGAATGTATTTATTGAGAACATTATAACTGATGAATATTGTTAAAATTATTTGTAAATTAAGTGTAGAAAGATTGTTACCTAGATAGAAAGCTGTATACATAAAAACAAAGCCTTTTGATGCAGTGGGAAACATGGTCTCACTGTGTATTCAGGTCAGCCCTCTCTAAATGTTGGTCCCCCTGCCTCTGCCTTATAGCCTCAGGAGTGCTGAAATTAAAGCATGTGCTATCATGCCTGCCCTTGCTTTTGAGGATCCGGTTCTCTTTCTGAATAAAGGGGAATATTTACTTGAGGGCTGCACATAGCATGGAATCATAACCCAAGTTATTTTGAGACAGATCTCACTGTTAATGCTGGCTTTGGACTTGTGGCAATTCTCCTATGTTTGCATCTCAGGTGGGGTTAGAGGCAAGGACTAACACATCCAGCAATGTAGTTTGTGTTAACACTGCTACCCGAAGAGTCTATCAAGACAAATTATTACTATTTATAAATATAACATTTTCTGTTTAAGATCCTGCATTTCATATTTTAGTTTTTGTGAAGTGGAAAAAGAATTTTTTCCTAGTGTAAGGACGGAGCATTTATTACACATAAGGGAATGACTTTTGACCTCTTAACACAGTTTATAGTTTTATTTATTTTTGAAATAGGATCTCACTGTGTAGTGTAGGCTATCCTTTATTTGTTTATGTAACCCAGGCTTGCCTCGACTCAATCTTACTGCCTCAGCCCTCTGAGGTCTGGTATTACAGGTGTCCACCACTGTGTTGGGCTAAAGTTCTATCTTTCTAATGGAGGATATAAACCAATTTTTATTTAAATGAAATTGTTGATGGGTACAACAGTTTTTTTCTTTAAAGGTTAAACTTCATGTGCTACTATGTCTTAGGTGGAAACAGATAATTATACTGGTTTGCCATTTAGACTGTTTTAGCTCAGCAGTGATAATGGGATTTTTTTTTTTCTTGCTGTGTTGGCTTTGACCTCAGAGCTACCCTTTCGCCTCAGTCTGCTGAGTACTTGATTTATAGGCACCTGACTCTGATTATGATTTTTCTACAATGTAGTTCCTCCCCAAACCTCTCAATAGCAATGAAATATAACTTTATTTAGTATATGTTTGCAGTAAATCATATTACATTCATGAATTGGTACATGTACATAACATTTTAATTCTTTTTTTTTCCTTTTTTTTTCTTTAAGGAGAAAAAGAAAAACAAAAAGGGTACAAGTTATACAGAATTGAAAAAATAAACAATAGGAAATCACTAGTTAATAGATTACATATTGTTAGAAATAGTTGTTAAGCATATAAAGTGGATTTTCAAACAGTTTTGTTCAATGATCCAGCAAATCTCAGTTATATGGTTATCTATCTTATACACTTAAATATATATGCAGTTATATCCTTTAGAGCACTTTCTTTTCCTTTCTTTTGTACAATGACAATTACACATTTTGGGTTTTATTACTCTCACAGTTCTTACTTTTTTTTTTTTTTGTCTTTTTCGTTTTTTATCGGTACCAGGGATTGAACTCACGACTGCCTGCTTGCAAGGCAGGCACTTATGCCGCTGAGCTAAATCCCCAGCCCCTTCTTATTTTTTTTAAAGAGCGTAAAACCAAATGTGGCATAACAGAACAGAGTCAGTCAAATCAAAAGGATGGATATAATAGATAATGTAAAAACAAAATACTAGGTGATCAACAATGGTTACCATACTGCCTCTTGCTATCTTAAAAACAATTGCCTATATTATCAGTTATAATAAAATTGAACAAAACAGTACAGAATAAAACCAAAACATTGGAGACATTACAGGACTTTAAAAGAAGATGAATAGTCAACCGGAATGGGCATCATAATGAATCTTACTGTCCTTAGAGTTGTTGCCTATACTTTCGAACTTGGTACTATCAATCAAAGCAGAATAGAGGAAAATCAGTCAAAGCAAGATGGTGAGGGCTCTACAGGTTTCAAATCAAGTTAATGGGAAATCAAAGTGGGTTACTATAATGCATCCTGCTATTTTTTCCCCTTAATTAAAAAGATAATCATAAAAAAAGTAAATAATTTTTAAAAAGACTGAGATAAAAGAGGGCATAACAACAAAACAGCGCAGGTCAAAGCGTAACCATTTAAGCAAAATAGTGTTTCACCACAAGATATCCTGACATAAAAGTAGTTATCATAGTGTCTCTTTCCTTGAAATCTTTGAGTATAACTTTGTATACTATAGCACCAAACATATCAAGACAATGTAAAACCAAGGGAATGACAGTATTACAACATATTAATTCTTAATCCCTTGCTAGTTGATTATTTTCAAGCACAAAAGCAAAAATGCCAATAATGTTAATGAAAACAGCATTCTGTTTTGGGCCTGTTTTTGATAGTTTTATATTTGGTATAAACCTAGATTAGTGAAAGTTGTTTCAAACAAAAGCAGCATTGAGGAATAAATAGTGTATTTTACATGAAGAACATAAGATTTTGAGTTTTAGAAAAGTGAAAGTATATACATTTTGTGGTAGATGGGACTTGTTTTAGGATATCCAAAGACTTTCCATTCTCATAAAATAGCAAGGTGATAAGATTTCATTGAGTTGCCCAATCTGGGCTTAAGTATGTGATTTTTTTGCCTCAGCCTCTAAGAGTGCTAGGATTATAGAAGTTACTCCAATCCTAAATCTGTCATATTTAATTGCTATGTCAATTCTTCCCCATAGTTCAAAATAATAGAGTGTGTTTCTCAAGATTTGTTCCTGATAGTGCAGACAGAGCAAGATGTTGCTTTTTTCTGGACCCATAGTTTTGAATATGGGAGTTCAGAGAATTAGAGTTAAGCATTTTTAGAAAATCTCATTCTAAATCATGAACATAATAGCTTATAAAATCCTTGTTTACTAATAAAACAATAGGAAGAGATAAACAGATGGTGCTTTATGTAAGTGTAGTCAGGGAAATATTGGTAGGTTCTAGCTATTTTTTGGTATCAGATCGAACTCATGACCTTGTGTTTGCCAGGCAAGGTTATTTATGTATGTTTCTTTTTTGATCTTTGAGACAGGATCTGCAGTGTAGTTCAGACTGGTCTTGATCTCACCATGTAGTCCACGCTGGCCTCAAACTCAAAATAATCCTCCTGCATTATCCTCTTGAGTGTGAACCCTTTCTTTGTTGCTTGGGCTGTCTCTGAGCTGGGCTCAAGTGATACCCCTACCTTAATCCTCCTAAGGAGATAGGAATATAGTCTGCGACACTGCATCCAGCTGTATATTCTTTAAAAGAATAAAGATCATTATAAATAGTAACTCATCAAAAATGAGATTATATTTAGTGCTTGAGGCAAATTCATCTATCATAAGTTTTATGTGTATATGTGTAACAGGTATTGTAGCATTAATATTTTATAGAAAATGGCAGTTATATCTGAGCTTCTTGTATAATAAGTGAAGTGCTAATCTTTTGAGTGAAATTATCCTAATGAAGTGACATACCCAGGCATGGTATATATTCTCTCTTTTTTTAAATTGGTACTGGGGATTGAACTCATGACTGAGCACTTGCAAGGCAGGCGCTTATGCCACTGAGTTAAATCCCCAGCCCTATGCATTCTTTTTTTTTTGGTCTTTTTTGAGATGGGGTCTTGTTATGCATTTCAGGCTGGCCTTGAGCTCACTTTGTAGCCCAGGCTGGTCTTGAACTCGCAACGATCCTCCCATCTCAGCCTCCCGAGTACTGACCCTTATATATACATTCTTATAATTTCATTATTGAAATGGTTGAGGCAGGAAGACCTTGAATCTAGGGCCAGCCAGTGCCACACAGTGAAATCTGGTCTCCCAGGGAAAATTCAGAAAGGGTGGGGAACACACTGAGGGACAATGGATATAATTTTGTAAGGTCACTGTTGGATTTTGTTGAGTGGAGGGAATTCTGTTACTCTTTTGTCCAACAGGATGTACAGTTACCCAGCACGTGTTCCACCACCGCCTCCTATTGCTCGGGCTGTAGTGCCCTCAAAACGCCAGCGTGTATCAGGAAACACCTCACGAAGGGGCAAAAGTGGCTTCAATTCTAAGAGTGGCCAGCGGGGATCTTCTTCCAAGTCTGGAAAGTGTACGTTCTTTCAGGTTTTGTGATTTTGATGTTTAAATACATTAATTAGTAGAATTACAGGGTTGAGCTTTTGTGCGTATAACTTGGCACAAACAAAAGAAGGCCTGGTATTTCTTCTTCCCTGCATCTTTGGTATGCTTCACATTTGCAAACAGTCTTTCTGTTTGTTATTGTGTATCTTTTGTTTTTTGAGTTTCTCATAAGTGAAATACCATGATATTTAAGCTTCTGTGTCTCATTTTATTTCCTTTAACATTGTATGTTCAAAGCACATCCGTTTTTATATCAACATGGTTAAGGTTCATTCTTTTTGACAGAATAGTGTGTTCCACTGTGTACAATAAATACATTTTATCCATCCGTTGATGGACATACAGGCTGCTTTCAAGATTTAAATTGACTTTTGTGCCTAGCAACATGATAATTTTCAAAAAGTTCCTAAGCCCTGGAGGCAAGGAATCTGTTTTTATGTATGTGTGGAATACTTCTTTTTGTAATTCAATAATTAAATTCAGGTATACTTTCGCATATGAGGAAAACTAAAAAGAGTTTTCTGTGTTGTATCCTTAAGTGGAAATCAAGTGAGATACTAACTTTATTGAAAGATCATGAGATTAATATGAATACAAGAAGTGCTCAAAGTTGCTGGCCATTAGCTTCAAGGTATTAGTATAACACTGCTGAAGTGTGTATAATTTTGGAGGGAGACTATACAAAGGTCTCCTTTTTTAGTTATAATAATAATCAGACACTGGCCAGGCTTCTGCTTTTGGCTTGTGTTGTAGTGTAGTGGGAATGTATTTGGTAACTAGTAGATTTGCTTTAATTCTCATGTAAGACACTGTTTATGTTAAAGTGAAAGGAGATGATCTTCAGGCCATTAAGAAGGAGCTGACCCAGATAAAACAAAAAGTGGATTCTTTACTGGAAAGCCTGGAGAAAATAGAAAAGGAACAGAGCAAACAAGCAGGTAATGAATGATCTATTTTCTTGTGTTTCAAATTTGGTTAGTTACCTAAGAGAATTGAAAATATAGACTCGTGAAATGTAAAACCATTTAGCAGTGAAACTCAGGATAATTGAATTGGTAAGAGCATTTGTGTGGATTCTCTACTTTACTCCAAGAGACTTGTCTTATCCTTAGTTGAGATGAAGAATGATAAGTCCGAAGAGGAGCAGACCAGCACCTCCCTGAAGAAAGATGAGACTAATGTGAAGATGGAGTCTGAAGGTGCTGCTGATGACTCTGCTGAGGAGGGGGATCTACTGGATGATGATGAAAATGAAGATCGGGCAGATGACCAGGTGAAAACAAGGGGGAAAAAAAAAGAAGTGGGGAAGGGCGCCCAGGTACACATGGAGTGTGTCTAACTCCACTGTTTGTGTCTGTTTCTCACAGCTGGAGTTGATCAAGGATGATGAAAAAGAGGCTGAGGAAGGAGAGGATGACAGAGACAGCGCCAATGGCGAGGATGACTCTTAAGCACATAGTGGGGTTTAGAAATCTTGTCCCATTATTTCTTTACCTAGGCGCTTGTCTAAGATCAGAATTTCACCAGATCTTCTCCCCTAGTATCTTCAGCACACACTCACTGTTCTTCCAATCTTTATCCTTCCCATGTTCATGATTGCCCCGCGCCTAGTACCATTTTCACTTCTTTTGATGCTCCTAGTAGTTTTGTTAAGTCTTATCCTGTAATTTTTGCTGTTTAATTTTGATACCTCTTTATGACTTAACAATAAAAAGGTTGTATGGTTTTTATTAGCTGTCTCCACAATAATCTCTTGTTATGCAGGGAGTTCAGTTATTTCCATTCATACATGATTTCGGTAGTTGCTTCCCTAACTGCAAAGGCAATCTCATTTAGTTGTAGCATCTGAGAGCAGCTTTGATTTAAGAGGTATGTGTGTTATCCCACATTAAGTATCCTGTGGGGCTGTTGAACACAAATGTAACAATGTATTTTTGTGAATGAGAGCATGTCAAATGCATCCTCTAGAAAAATTAGTGTAACAGTCTTTGTTTTCTAAAGTTGATACTGTGGGTTATTTTTTGTGAACGCCTGATGTTTGGGATCTTTTTCTCAAAATAAACAAGTCCTTATTAAACCAGGAATTTGGAGAAAAACAACCTGGTTTTTTATTTTTGTATAATTGTTTACTGCAAATTGTTTGTTTTACAGCAGCCTCCACGAAACCTTTAGTATGTTCTAAATATATTTCTCTTGCAGTCACTTACGATCTTGTGCATCCTACCACACACAACTCAAGATGGATGTTGCATTAAGTAGTAAAGGAGCTTTGACAGTGAACATCATTCTAGTTATTGCACCCTTAATTAACCTTTTACTGGATTTTGACTCTGCTTCAGTCTTATTATAATAAGTATCAAATTTTTTTTCTTTTTCCTGGTCTTCTGTAGTCTGTGCCTTCCCAGGTAACTGAAATGGTGGTTGAGGGTTGCTACATTTATTTTATATCACAATGACTTTATATAAATATGGCCCAATTCTTGGTTCTTACCCTTCAGTTTAATTGCATTGAATTTTGTAGAACTCAGGATCTTGTGCTTGCCAGACAGGCACTGTGCCTCTGAGCTATATCCCTGGACCAGCACCTAAATTTCTAAGGATGGATATATTGGACTGCTGCCAGAGTTGTGATGCTTGCTTAGTTGTCCTGAGAGACCTAGTTTATTTTTGTTTATCTTTTAAGTTTTTCCAACATAGTAGGAAAGTAACTGATAATTTTTATTTTTTAAGTTTATTGGTACATTTTAGTTATATATAATGATCACATGATAGGAGGAACTGATGTACACAGAGTTTGGAATTGTTGTAAAGTTGCTGTTAATTGATATCATAGTGCAAAGACATTTTTCACATCCTACCTTCTGTGGGCAAAACTTATGATCTTGTTTAAAAAGATTTGCGCTTCTTTTATGTAACAGATGATAAAACAGTATTGAGGAAAGAAATTGAACTAAAGCTTACTCCGTACTCTAAATGCATGCTTTAAAGCTAGCTTGTTTTGAATTTTAGTCACAAAACTAGTATGGTTTTCCAATCTGTTGTCTTCTGTTAAACTTTTAGCAGCTAATCCTTAATTTAGAAAATCAACTTGTTTACGTAGAAGAAAATTTCAGAAGCCCCAGATGCTAATAAAACTTGTTTAACATTACAGCATTAGCCACTGCTGTTTGAAAATACTAGACATACTAGCCTAGATTCAGCATCCACATTGGTCTTTACTTCCCTGCACAAAGTAATATTTGTAGTTTTTATTTATTTCTGGTGTTTTTTTAAAAAATTGTGTTCTGCCAGATTAAGAGGTTGGTTTTAATTCTGTAGACAAGTAGGTGTGGAGTGAACTGTTGTTGGGACTTAACTGATAGCTACAATTCACAGTCATACTCTCAAAAGTATACACACGTTGTAGGTTTTTGCTGAAAATATCAGTGATACACTAGGTTGCCTTGAGAAGAGAGTTATCTCACACTGTAGGTTTTGAGGCTGTAAATCATAGTTCCCCTCTGTATCTAAGAGAACAGTGAAGATGATAGCAATATTTAATCAGTACTTTTAACATTTATGTTCGTGCATCAAAACTTAACAAAGAAGGTTAAATTACAAAGGGTAAAACGTCACTTGGAATCAAATCATGTAGTTTATGCTTTTACTGCTCTTTCATTCTTGAAACAAAAAATTGTCAAGTTGGAGTGGATGATGATTTTAAAATGTATAAAACGATGGCTCACATTCCAGATTAAATGTTGGCATCACTCTTAAACCTTACAAAAATTGTGATATTTCTTTAAAATTATCCATTTCTAGTCATAGAAAAGAACAGTGCAGACACAAAAGCATTGTGATAAATTGGGTGGACATGAAGTAGAGTTAAATGTAATAGAAGAAATGGAGCAAACTAAGCATGTGAGCCCATAGAGTATCCATAAAGGAACCTCCCCCAGTATACAACCTGGCAGCAGTGTATTTTATGAATAAACTAACAGGTGGAAAACCTGGTGTATGAGATGGAAATTACAAAAAGAAGAGTGAGGACAGACTGTTAAAATTCTAGTTTTGATGCCCCTAGACAAAATGATGTACTTTTTGAAAGTAGTTGCAGAATAGTAAATTGAGATCAGTTGGCAAAGGCATTACTGGGAATTTCTGGTGTTACTGAATTTTCTGGAGAGGAAACGTCATTAATGACTACCATGATCTGGAGAAACAGATGGGACCTGGTCACATTGTCCTTTTTGGGGGTTGATCTTTTTGTTCAATAAGAAAAAAGTCAGCTGGGCCAATGTCAAAAGAGTTGAGATCATTTCAACCAAGAAAATGCATTTTAGTTGAGTTTAGACGCATCCAGGAATGTGTATTCTCACAGCTTCAGAAAGCCATTTGAAAATTGTACACTGATACAAAATTGATTACCATTATACATACGGTATAAATGACACTGAAGAACCTTATTACACTTGGTGTTGAATTTAACAGAACAATCATTTGTTGTGATAGAATAGTATGTTGTGGTTTTTTTAGTGTTTGTGAAACCATTGGGGAGACTAAAAAATGTGGTTAAACACTGCACACAGTATAGTCCTTTACTGGTAAAGGGCTAGAGTAGCTTCTGTGTACGTGTAAGTTCCAGGCTTGAAATTTCATTAGCTTAATCTCAAGACCATAAACTTTTATCATGGGCTGTGGGCATTCCTGAGAGAGGTAGATCAGTTGTCTTAGCGTATACGAGGCACAGGGTTTGATGAAAATGCAAAAGAGGTTACTTTAAATCATGAAACCCTAAAAATGGTTGCATTAGTAACTAAAGTTCATTTTTTAAGTCGTATCCCCAGACCAGTTCTTAAGTTGCCCAGCCTGCGCTCATCCTTTTCATTGGCAGTACTGTCATGTATTACCATGTCTGGGCCCAAAGGATAGTTTTTAGGCTGTGGGTTAGTGATGCTGTTGCCTGACATACACGAGGCCCTGGGTTCAATGTGTATGTTTATTTCCTGTTGTAAGTATGGAAAGCAAGATCCATCCAAGTGTTGGAATGAAAGTCCTTGTGTAGACTGTCTTCTCTAATTCCAGCCGGAAAGCAGCATGGAAAAAGAGGCAGTAGTGTCATGGTATAAATGCCAAGGATAAAAGCAGTATAGTTGAACTCCAAAATGAAAGAAGGCTCCAGTTGGCACACAGGAATGAGAAATGTTGAAGCCATAATCTGAGGGTGTGAGATAAAAAATTTTGCTTATGCAAAAATAGCCTGAGCAGATCTAGGAAACTTTATAATAATCTAACTTTTTAATGTTGGGATAAGGTTTAAGTTACTGAATTTCCAGTTTACCAAAGTAGGGAGCCCCTTCGGTAAGGAGGGGGAAGACAGATGGGTGGGTCACTATAGATTAGAAAACAATGTTCTTGAGAGGTGATAGGTTATTGGCTGGTAAGGAAGTTGATAAAAGCATGCCTATTTGGCAATTAAATGCAGTTTACAGGGAGGAGTAGCTGGTATTGAAATCTGCACCAAAGTTAAAAAGGATCTTGAGACACAGCATTAGAAGGTGAAAAGGCAGGGTTCGGTGGTTTACAGCTCAATGTTGCAGTGGCGGCCTGGCAAGTGTGAGGTCCCGAGTTTGATTCCCAGTACACCACCAGCCCTGAAAGTAAAAAGACAAAAAGCAAACAAAAAAAAAAAAAAAAAAACGCACAAAAAATGAATTTGGTCTCCAGTGTAAGACACAACATGTTAAAGTCGGCCAAACTTGATTTGCCTATTTGTTTTTTTGCCCATCAAGCTTTATATGAGGATGCAGATGTTTTATAATGGGACCAGTGTGATAGCAAGTAGTGGTAGTATTTAAATATGCTCAGTGTGTCTAAATTAGTTTTAAATTTTATTTTTAGTTCTTTAGTTCTATATGGGCTTGCTTATGAGTTGCATAGTATTAGAGAATGGTGAGAACCATTTGTAGACAAGTGTTTAGACTTGGTTATACATCCTCCCTTCTGCATGAGCAGATGACCTGTTTTCTGTGTTTCTTAAATTCTAGTGGTGAAGATTAACCTCCTATTAAAAGGCCACCTACAATAAACTATCCAACTAGGGATCCTTGTCAGTTGACTCAGGATTAAAGGTTGTCTTCAAATGATGCTATGCAAACATAAGATTCTTAGATTTTACTTGTAATTCTTTTAGCTATGTATGATAGTAATTACTATGTTTCAAAGGATTTGGGTGTTTGCACATCCCTATGGTAAATGGTAGAGCCAGAATTTCAGCGTATATTTTGACTTGTCTGTCGATACGTGAATTCAGAAGTAGTGAGTCTGAGAAGATGGATGTCCTAGTTTCAGATAACAGACTAGATCTCAGCACCTTTTCTCTAAAACTTGAAACGTGATTTCTACACCGTAGATCTTCTTTGATCTTCAGGAATGCAAAGATACAGGCTCTTCTATCCGTCTAACTTAGCTCTTCCTGGAGCATCTGAAACACTTCCTTTAAAGCCATTTCTTGCTCAGACAACTAGGTAGACATTTTGCCAAAGTCACTCTTTACAGTGTTAGATTGTCCTATGAACAACCTGCAATGTCTTTGAAGAGCTCATAAAAGATGTCTTTGCCCAGTGGACTCAACCAATGTGCAGAGTTCAGGTCCAGACATAAACTGCAGTGTATTTGGAGCATAAGCCCAGCTCACCAAAATGGTAGACCCAAGAACCAACCTTTTGCATTAGATGGTTCAGTGTCCATTTCCAGCTCATTGATTTACTGATAGCATTGTTATTTCCCATTCAAGCTTAGGAATCTTCCTGTGAATCATGCTCTTGTTCTGTCCTATGCCTGTTCTAAGGCACACTTGCTCCTTTGGCATAGGTGAAATGTTTTGAGACCCTCTTGTTCTCCCAGAGGAATTTATCTCAAGAGTAAGGGCTTTTAGTGGGATTAGATAGTTCCTAGATAAACGATGAAAATCAGTGCCAGCCAGGCTTACAATCCTACAATATTTGGCTTCTTATTTTGGAGCTTTTACACAAAAACTACTTCTCTAGCACCAGCTAAGTTCTACTTAAGGTTTCAGAAGTAGTTATTAGGGTCAGGTTGCCAG